TGAGTGCTTAATGGGCCATTTAATTTGCTCTCCACTGGACAGAAGCCAAAAGTGCAATTTTATYGAAGACGGATCATTTGCTACAGTGTACAAGGAAGTTGCTGCTGACCACCTTTACACTGTTTGAGAACCTAATTAAAATGTTTACACAGGGCTACGTTTTGTTACTTGGTAACCTGTATCCCCGGCCTGTTAGCCTAGAACATAATAAATAAGTTTCCTGTCTATACAGACTGTAATACAGACGTATCGTTTCTTTTAAAACCTATTCAGACCAGTTTAAGCCTCGCCACAGCAGTGTTTATTGCCGCCTCAGACTGAGGGCGGCTGCCTTCCCCCCGTACTCACTTTGGCTCGGCGCCTGCCGCAGCCAAGCCCTTCCTGGGCGACAGAACCGCGTCCCTCGCGGAAACGTGCGCTTCGAGGGGGGCTTTTCGAGCGGAAAAAGCGTTTTCCACTCCCGTGGCCGCAGTCGCGCGCCGCGGGGCCGCTCTCGCCTCAGGGGGCGCTCGGCGCTCGCCACGGGGTCTCCACGGGGCGCGCCCCAGGGCGCCCCCCTGCAACGCACTCGGCAACGCGCATGCTCCGAGCTAACGGTCCGCGGCGCAGCGGGAGAGACGATGCCCCGCCCCCACACTGTGACCCCGCCCTTATCCGAACAGCCACGCCCATCTCCGGTTGACCACGCCCTTTCGCGCGTGGCCCCGCCCCGCGGCGCGGCGCATGCGCGCTGGCTGCAGCGCCGCCCCGTTGTGGCTGCGGTGGCAGCCTGAGCAGCGGCCGCCGGGCGGGGAGGGGGGGGGCGGAGGGAGGCGGCGGCGGAAGATGGCGGCGGCCGCGGCGACGCTGCTGCGGGCCTGGTTCTGGAACGAGCGGTTCTGGCTGCCGCACAACGTGACGTGGGCCGACCTGGCCGGCGAGCCGGGCGGCGGGCTGCAGTACCCGCGCGCCGGCCACGTCCTCTCCGCCTTCCCGCTGGCGCTCGGCATCTTCGCCGTGCGGCTGCTCTTCGAGAGGTGAGCGCGGGGCCCGCCCCCGGCCCGGGCCGGCGGCGAGCGCGGCGCGGGGCCGCCGGGGTCTCTTAGCAACGGGCGCGGCGGGAAGCGGCACGGGGCCGCCGGGCGGCCCGAGGCCTCGGCGCCGAGCCCGAGTCGCGCTCGCCGCCTCCCCGGCGGGTTTTTAGCGCTGCTGCCACCCCTATAAAAACTCGTGTGGTAAAAAAGATCCGTGTGGTGAAGAAGATCCGTGTGGTGAAGAAACGTGGTCCGGTCGTGGAAAACCTACCGGGGCTGCCAGGGCGCCCGCTCTGCYGCCCTCGCTGAGGTGCGGGCCCGGCCCGCGCCCTGGCCCTTCCTAAACCCGCTCCTTGGCCCTTCCTAAACCCGCTCCTTGGCCCTTCCTAAACCCGCTCCTTGGCCCTTCCTAAACCCGCTCCTTGGCCCTTCCTAAACCCGCTCCGTGCCCCGGCGCCTCGGGACGGTTGGCGCACGTGCGGGCGAGGCTCTGGAACAGGCGGTTCGCGCGGGCACCGCCACCACGCGCCGCGATGCCTCGCTTGCGGCGGCGCGGCATCCTCTCGGCGATGGGTGTCGCGGGCCGTGGCGCGGCTCCTAATTAACAAGGCTGCTTATTTGGGAAGACCGTTAGGCGAAGCAGGCCGAAAACGCCTTGGGTTCCCGTTTAACTGGTTCATTAGTGGCTTATCTGATTTTAGAAAGGGCCAAAATATTTCCAAGCGTGAAAGGGCCTGTAGGGCTAAACTGAGCGGGAATCCAGTCAGTTTTCATTTTGCATCTTTTCTGTAAGGAGCGCTTTTTTTTCGTGAGCTTTCAGGTCTTAGACAAGAAGAGGAGAGCAGGGCAGAGTAAGACAGGAGTCCTGTGGAGCCAAACGTGAAGCAGGTAAGCAGAACAGGCCAGAAATTTGAAAGCCTGCCCTGGAAAAAAAAAGATAAATAAAATGTTTCTCTGCTCAAACCAATGCAAAGGACTGAGGAACACAGAGATATGTGGCAGTGCYAAATGCCATCCTAGTGTGGAGTGGTCTGAACCAAGTGTCCGTGCTTCCTTGCAGACCAGGGAAGGAAGCTGTGAGGTGGGATATCCCCCCTTAGAGGGATGCTGCAGGGATCAGGATGGAAGGTCTTCGCTTCCCTCAGACCTCATATATCCGGCTGTGTTATTGGGAAGAAGTGCGCGATTGTCTCTTGTTTGCAGAGCATGAGACATTGGTGCAGTGCATCCTGATGAGAYAGTCCTCCTGGTAACACTTATTTTGTCCTCATAATGTCCACGCTACGTTCCCTGCCTTGGGAACTTGGTAACTTAGAAAGGAGTCAAACGAAAAGTTAAGTCTTCTTCCTTCAAAGTGAAACCTCAAGACTGAGGCCTGGTCGCCAAGAGGGCTGTTTCCTTTCCTTCATGTGCGTCTCTGCTACAAGGTGGTTGTGCCCTGAAGTAAAAGCAGATTGCAAGAACAYGACCTAGGCGAACTGTAGGGTGCGTTAAAGCCCATACTGCTTTTAAGAAATGCTTTCCTCTTTCCTTCTGACCTTTTGAACATGTCATAAACCATCATATTTGTCTAATAAAATGCCATTGTGCCCATACCCTGGTACAGGCCTTGGGGATCACAAAGTCAAATTGCTTCCTTGACACACAATTGGCAGTGGGACTTGATGACTCAGAGCTTGAATTATATAGTTTTGTAGCTCTTTTGTTTTAGCTTTTCTTTCTTAATTTCTCCCTTTCCTGCTCTCATTTTCAGTAAGTCTTCAGTGTGTGGAAGTGCTTTTTCCCTCTTGCTGAGTAACTTGTAAAATTAGCGCACATTTCTGTTAATGAATGCTATTTTACATTAGCCCATGCGTCGAGATGTTGGTAAAATCTTCCTTGCATTGATTGTGTGTGGGGAATAGCATGTGAGGACTATGGAGATGAGGCAAGACATGTAGGGAAAGATAAGGGCCTGACGCACAGGAGGGGATTTTTGTGCAGATAAGAGGATGGGCTTCTGCCTCCAGCTGTGTCCGTTTTCATCTCTTCTCGGCTATCCTGGAGGCTATTTCCCCCCTACGCATCTTACACACAGAAATTCCCAGGTATCTGGGAAAACCTGGAGCTGCTTACTCATATGACTTGCTTGTGATTGCACTGGAATGCCTCTCCGCTGATAGATGCTCCCTGGTATGAGCTGCAGCTTGTGCTGGCTGTGGCCGAAAGGCAGTTCTGTTAGTTCTCCAGGTCCGCCTGGAAGTCGGTGCCAGTTGTGGAGCGAGCTGCTCTGTTCTTAACGTGGTGAAAGTGAAAGGTTGTGCGGAGATGGGCTCTGTCTCCGAGTGCAGCTAGCCCCAGGATGTGCAGGCTTCATAAATCTTACTGTTTAGGGGGTTGTTCTTCCTTTCCAGAGCTCTAGTGGGAAGTTGCTAGACAAGACTGAAGGTTCCATTAAGAAGGATTTTGAAGTTAGGTTTGTGAAGTACATACTTGCTGTAGCGAGCGATACCTATGTACTTGAAAACCGGTGTCACTCACAGAATTAGTCTATCTSAGTAACCAGCATGAGAACGCTAGTGTAAGGTAGGTGTAAATTCAGCCAGTGAGCAGATCCTTGTTCAGAAAATAACAATATAAGCGTGTAAGTGCAGATAATTCCTTGCTGGAAGGGTGCRGCAGAAACTTGACCTTGGGAATAATTGGTGCAGTTGAAAGATTTTATGGAGTCATAAAATAATTGAGGTTGCAGGGCGCCTCTGGAGGTCACATCCACCTGCCTTCTCAAAGCAGGGCAAACCCTTTGGTTAAATGGAGTTGCTCGTGGCCTTGTTCTGTTGTTCTCAATGTCTGCAAGGACAGAAACTCCTCAGCCTCTGGGCAACCTTTTTCGGGGCTTAACTCTGGCTGCTCTGCAGATTTTTTCCTCCATGGCCAGTGGTTGTAGGGGGAGCGTGGGGTGTCGGCGAGCCAGACGAAACACCCGTTYGCAGCTGCGCAGGAAGCCCTGGCGCAACTCGTTGC